AATGTAATAATAGGTATCTATGAAACACCTGTAGCTAGCATCATAATGGTGAAATAGTGAACCTGTTCCCCCAAAGTTTGGGAGCAAGACAAATATCTTGTTCAACACTTCTGTTCAACATTGAAGTGGGGGTCCTAGTCAGTGCAATAAAATAGGAGGAGAAAGAAACAAAAGACATACAGATTAAAAAGGAAAGAGAAATAAGCCAGTCAGAGAAAGGCAAATACCATATGATTTCACTTATATGTGGAATCTAAGAAACAAACAAACAAAATGAGCAAAGGGGAAAAAGAGACAAACCAAGAAACAGACTCATAACCATAGAGAACAAACTGATGGTTACCAGAGGGGAAGTGAGTGGGGAGGGTGGATAAGATAGGTGATGGGGATTAAGGCACCTGTCTTGATGAGCATCAGGTGATGTATGGAATTGTTCAATCACTATATTGCACACCTGAAACTAATGTAACACTGTATGTTCATTATATTGGAATTTTAAAGTTTTAAAAATTAAAAATAAAAAAGCAGAAAAGGTATAACTGTATTTATTCACAGATGTCATGTTTGTATATGTAGAATATCCTAAAGAATCTGCAAAATGACTAGCAACCAGAATTAATATGTGAAGTTGACTAGGTTGTAGGGTATAAGCGTAAAACTTAAAATCAGTTATAGGTCTATATACTAGTAGCAAGCGATTGCCAAATAAAATTAAACGATCTTATTTATAATAGCAATAAAATAATGTTAAATAATTAAGAATGTATTTAACCAAAAATATGTAAAACCAGTACACTGAAAACAACAAAACACCATTGTGAGAAATTAATGAAACTTAACATAAGTGGAGAGAGATATATCATGTTTATAAATTGGAAGAATCAATATTATTATGGTGATAATTCCTTCCAGATGGATCTATAGATTCAATAAACCCTATAGATTCATTGAAATCTCAAGAGACTTTTTTGTTTGTGTGGAAACTGAAAAATTAATTCTGAAATGTATGTATGGATGAAATGCAAAGGATCTAGAATAACCCAAAAAAAGTTTGAAGAAAAACCTGCAGAACATATACTACCTGATTTCAAGACTTACTAAAAAGAGTGACAGAAGTGGAGAGGATGAGGTATTGACAGAATAGATGAATCAATCATATCAACCAATAAATGAACCATAAGAGAGAGCCCACACATATGTGTTCAACTGATTTTTAACAGAGTTGCCAAGAAAGTCATTATGGAGTATCAGGTCTTTTCAACAAATAGTGTTGGAACAGCTAGATAAAGCTGTGGACAAAAACAAACCATGATCCCTACCTCACACCACACACAGAAAGTAATTTAAGATGGGTCATAGACCAAAACCATACAGCTTCTAGAAAAGAATGTAAAATATCATCATGACCTTGAGGTAAGTAAAGATTTCTTAGAAAGGACACAGAAAACTAAAACTAAAACTTGATAAATTAGTCTGCGTCAGAATTAAAATTCTTCTCATCAGAAGATAATCATTAAGAAAATGAAAAAGCAAGCCATGGAATGGAAGAAAATATTTCAATATTTTAATACATATAATGACAAAGGTCTTGTATGTGGAACATATAAAGAACTCCTACAAATTGGTAAGAGAATGACTAACAACCCAATAAACATAGGCCAAAGATTTGAACAGACACTTAACATAAAAAGTTAGAGGAATGACCAGTAAGCACATGAAGAATGTACTCAACATCATGGTTCATCAAGGAAATGTGAATTAAAACCACATTGAGATATTATTTTACGCCCCCTTGAATGCCTACAAAGACTGACAGCACCGAATATTGGTGAGGATATGAAGCAACAGAAACTTCCATGTTTTGTCAGTGGAGACATAAAATCATACAACCCGTTTGGGAAACTGTTTGGCAGTGTCTTATAAATTTATCCATTCTGACCCAATGGCTTCACTCCTGGTGAAGTGAAAATGTACGAGCACCAGAGATTTGAGCTTTAATGTCCATGGGAACTATATTCACAATCGCTAAAAACTTGTAATAGGCCAAATGTCCACGAGCAAATGAATGGATAAATGAATCATGATATATTCATTCAGTGGAATAATACTCTGCAATTTAAAAGACTTTACCATGTTATGTATTGACATTATGTCTTTTTGGTACATAATGACAACAGGTAGAATCTCAAAAATATGAAGGGAAAAGAAGCCAGACAGAAAAGAATGCATACTGTGTGATCTCTATGTGACAATCTAGGACAGGCAAGACTAGGGTGAAAAAGAGCCTGTCAGTGGTTACCGAGGGCCAGGGAGGGTATACTAACTGCTGAGTGGCACAAAGGAACTTTTTTGGGTGATTGGACTGTTTTATATCCCGGTTGTGGTGGTGTTTGCATAAGGATATATTTGAAAAACTCATGCTGTCTACACTTAAAATAGGTGCATTTTATTTTATGTACCTTATGCCTTAATAAAGTTGATTTTTTAATATTTATCTTAGTTTTGAGAAAGAGTGAGGGAGAGAGAAAATCCCAAGCAGGCTCTGTGCTGTCAGCACAGAGCCCCATGTGGTACTCGATCTCATGAACCATGCGATCATGACTTGAGCCAAAATCAAGAGTTAGACGCTTAACTGACTGAGCCACCAGGCACCCCAGAGGTTTTGTTTTTTTTTTTTTTTTTGTTTGTTTTTTTTTTTTTTTTAATGTTCATTCGGTTTTGAGAGAGAGAGGGAGAGCATGAGGGGCAGAGAGGGGGTCAGCGGATCCGAAGCAGGATCTGACAGCTGTGAACCTGATGTGGGGCTCAAACTCACAAGCTGTGAGATCATTACCTGAGCCGAACAAAGTTGGGCGCTCAATCACCTGAGCCACCCAGGAACCCTGATTTTTTTTTTAAAAAGAATACCACCGGGGCACCTGGGTGGCTCAGTCGGTTAAGCGTCCAACTTCGGCTTAGGTCATGATCTCACGGTCCGTGAGTTTGAGCCCCGCGTCGGGCTCTGTACTGACAGCTCGAGCCTGGAGCCTGTTTCAGATTCTGTGTCTCCCTCTCTCTCTGACTGTCCCCCATTCATGCTCTGTCTCTCTCTGTCTCAAAAATAAATAAACATTTAAAAAAAATTAAAAAGAATACTAAGACCAAATGTTGGTAAGGATGTACAAATGACTGAAATTCCCATACATTGCCAGTAATACTTTAAAATGATACAACCACTGTGGAGAGTGGTTTGGCAATTTCTGATAAAGTTAAACTATCTATGACCCAGCAATTCCACTCCTAGGTAGTTACTTAAGAGAAATGAAAACCCACATCCACAAAAAGTCTCCTAGAAGAATGTTCATAGTGGCTTTAGTCATAAGAGCCCACAACTGGAAACAACCAAAAGATTCATCAACATAATAATAGATAAACAAATTGTCATGCAGGCAATACACTGGAACTATATTCTGCAATAAAAAAAAAAATGGATTACTGATTTGCAAAATCACATAGTTGAATTTCAAAACCCATTATGTTAACTGGGAGAGGGTCGACGCATAAGAATGCATGATGTATGATTCATTTATATGACCTTCAAGAACAGACAAAACTAATCCATGGTGATGGAAATCCAGAACTGGTTGCCTAAAAGGGTAGGGATTCACTGGAAGAGGCCCAAGATGACTCTCTGGATGGTAGACATGTTCTGTGTCTTGATTGGTGTTGCAAGGGTACATATTTATCAAACGTCACTGAATTATGTACTGAAGATCCGTGCATTTTCCTCATATGTAATTTTGACTTCAAACATGCACACAGGCACACGGATAACTTGATAGAGATTGAATTGTATGTTAAATCATTTGATAGACAAGTGGAACAATTTTGGTGTCTCTCATAAATTGTTTGATGATGCTCAGATTTCCATCAAGGGGCGATAGAGGCAGAAGGACCGCACTGTGTGACTAGTGTAATTGGCTAATAGAAGAAAGGTAATCTGGTATGCATAAGGGCCGTGTATTTAAAAGTCAAGATGGTATAGGATGAAGAGCAAGGGCTTTGTAACCACGCCGGGTTCAAACCCTGGTGCTGCTACTTGGTAACTGTGATCTTAAAGTAGCTTCACTTAGCTTCCTCTTTGCCATCCCTTCCTGGAGGTAAAACAACCTAAGGTCATAGGAATCAAATAGGTCACCACCTGCCAAGTGCTTAGAGTGCCTGCTTCCTAGTAAGCCCTCATGTGTTGTTGGTTATTTTTAGTTTTCATTCTTCTTCCTTATTTTTTTATTGTTATTTGTACTTTTCCCTTCTCCATCTCCTTATGGTTATTAATTATAAAGGGCTGGCAGGTATAAAAATCATGCATTTACTCCTTTACACTCTAACACCTTCATTAACACTCTTCCTTCCACTCAGCTCTCAAAAAGCGATTTCCCCTCTCACCTTGCTAGCTTCTGCTTGTCTTTCTTTCTTTTTTTAAAGTTTATTATTTTGAGAGTGAGAGAGAGAGAGAGAGACAGAGAGAGAGTCCATGAGCTGGGAAAGGCAGAGAAAGAGGAAGAGAAAGAGAGAGAAGGAGAATCCAAGCAGGCTCTTGCACTGCCAGCACCGAGCCCGATGCGGGACTCAAACCCATGAACTGTGAGATCATGGCCTGAGCCAAACGAAGTCAAGACCCGGATGCTTAACTGACTGAGCCACCCGGGCACCCCTGTGCTTGTCTTTCGAGACCATTCAGCCTTCAACTCCTCCAGGAAGCTTTCCCTGACTGCTAAGTCAGACACTTTGTTTCTATCACCTTCCTTGATAAATAGATCAAGTTGTCATTATAGTACCTGGTTTTATTCACTGTTGCTTTTGCCAGATGTAGTTTCTTTTCCCTTGTGCTTAGATTTTCATGTCTGGTGCATGTTAATGTTCAGTTTATCCTTCAGTGAACACGTGAATAACACAAAACTTTGCTCTTATGTGTTTCAGTCTGATAGCCAGAACATTCCAATATTGTCCACTCATCTTTTTTTTTTTTTTAATCAATTTTCACTTTCAGATTTTCTTTCTTGGAATTATCCTGCTTCCAATCCGTGTCTTACTGGTTGCATTAATTATATTACTGGCATGGCCATTTGCTGCAATTTCAACAGCATGCTGTCCTGAAAAGCTGACCCATCCAATAACTGGTTGGAGGAGGTAAGAAATAATAATGTCTAAATGTTAGCTAAATCAAGATTAAAGAAGCAATTACTGTGGTTTAGTCATCAATCAGTAGTTTTATCTAACGTTGCCTACTCACTATTAACCATTTATTTTCTTTTTCTCAGACGAAACGGTTCTTAAATTCATCACATATAGAAACTTTTGCCCAAGCGCCTTATGATAATTTTCTGTTGAAGTTGTAATTTCCCAATATTAAAATATTGTTTTCTGAGTCATTGCCAAAAAGTGAGAGGTCCCTGATTCTGGGAAACCCAACTAGTATACTTGAAACCTTTACAGCTGAAAACTATGGGTCTTTCCTCTGCTGTCCCTCAGTCATGACATTTACTTTTGTCCCTCTGTAGTAAGTACATACTTTCTGCCGTGGTGCAAGTAAGTGGATCAGCAATAGTGTATTTTTGAATATTTATCTAATCAGCAGGGTAGTTGAGAATAAACTCATCACCAATTAATAGTTACTGGTAAAAGTTCATTCCCATTGGACAGAGCCAACTTGTTGCCGTAAGTATGTCCTGAGAGTGAAGGCTTGTAAGGTGGGCTCCTTGGAATAGAAAGCCGTAGGTGAGGTGCAGGGCACCATTGAACTCTCTAAAATTGTCCACTTTGTTTAAAATTTGTATGCTACATAGGGTCTATTCCTTTCTTCCAAATCTCCAATGAGAATGTCCTCCAAAAATTTTGAAAATCACTGTTCTAGAAACTTTTAAAGAAATATGCAATTTACTCTTCAGTTCATGTTCTAGTGAATAATGTCAACATTCAGCCCAAGACTGGTTTCCAGTGGAAGTGAATACAAGGCTGGCAGTGTCCCCAGAGAATAATACCACCTTAATCCTTGCAAATCATAATCCTTTGCTTTATGATTCAAGGCCGTGTGTCCCTAAAAAATACTTTAAGAGAGATTTTTTTCATGACTGGCCAATTCCTTTCAATTATCTCTTTGGTTTCTGTTGTTAACAGCTTATGAAGCCCTATCATGATGGAAGGAGTAGTCTAAGAATCCAGAAAACAGATTAAATAAGTGTTAGAAAAGAACGTTCCGGGGACCTGGGTGGCTCGGTCTGTTGAGCACCAACTTCGATTCAGTTATGGTCTCGGTTTGTGAGTTCAAGCCCTTTGTCGGGCTCTGTGCTGACAGCTCAGCCTGGAGCCTGCTTCAAATCCTCTCTCTCTCTCTCTGTCCCTCCCCGGCTCATGCTGTCTCTCTGTCTCTCTCTCTCTCAAAAATAAAATAAATATTAAAAAAAATAAAGTTCCATTTTTTCCAATTAAGCAAGTATTTCTACTTCCTCTCAAACAGGTAACATTGAAATTAATTATGTAGCCCCAAATTTTAGCCCTTTTAAAATCCTTTCAAAAAGTGTTTAACAGCTCTGAATATGGGATAGTTTAGAATGCGGTTGTCAAAATCTACACCACTTTAAATCAAAAATAAGGGTGGAAATCGGTAAAGGGGTGAGCTTTTTATCCTTATGTAAAATAGACTCTGAACTCTAAACAGCAAGAAGGAGAGAGACGGTCATTTCCCTGTGCCCTCTGGAAAAGTACATTGGCTTCTGTGTCTCACTTCTCCTTACTGTGGAGTAAAAGTTAGAGAAACTTCCTCAGTGCCTAGTTGCTTAATAGCCCCTCGCTGTATTGCTACAAGACTACTGAGAGAATTAGACAGGAAGTCTACTTTTTCAAGCTCTCATTGGATGTGTTACGGGAAAGACGCATGTTTTGTTTTTCATGAAAACTGCATGCCTCTTCACATACTCAGATATCCATCCTGTGTTTGCACTTCTAGGAATGTGTTTCTGTTTCCCAACTCAACTGAGCTTATCAAGGACAGGGACTGGATAGTCTTAGTCCTATGTGTCCAGCAGAGGTCCTGGCACAGTTTGATGAATTAATTAGTCTTTAATGGCATAAATTCTTTTAAATTTTTTTAAATGTTTGTTTATTTTTGAGAGAGGCAGACACAGAATGCGAGTGGGTTAGGGGCAGAGAGAGAGGGAGACACAGAAGCAGAAGCAGGCTCCAGGCTCTGAGCTGTCAGCACAGAGCCCGACGCGGGGCTGGAACCCACGAACCGTGAGATCATGACCTGAGCCGAAGTCGGACGCTCATCCGACTGAGCCACCCAGGCACCCCTGACATAAATTCTTTGTAAAAAAGTAAGCAGTTAGATTTCTGAAATTGTGTAAGTGCATCTACGTTCCAGGAAAGCGAGATGGTGACTTTAGCTTTTAAGATTTTTGATGATGTCTAAGAGCTATAATGACATAAGTAATAAGGCTTTAAAAAATTATTCCTAAAATAACTGAGGACTGATGCAGCATGAGAGTTCTAAAAGTGTCTGGGGAGTAGCATCATTGTTACACAAATGTACATTCCCAAGGTCACTCCTGTGAAGAACAATACTGATTTGGATTTCTCAGTGGGGGACGTGTGTTGAAGATTCATTTTTATCCCTCTGTAGTCATAGAATCATGGAGCCACTTAGTAGCCATATGTCCTTGGGAAATTGTACTTCTCTGTGCCTCAGTTTTCTGATCTGAAAAATTAGGATGCTAAAAAATAAAATCCATTTCATACAATTGGGCTGAAGATTAAATAAATTAATAAATGTAAAGTATTTAGAATAGTACGTGGCAAAAAGAACCCCATGTAACTGTTAGCTATATTCTTCTTAGCTCATATTTAAAAAAAATTTTTTTAACGTTTTATTTATTTTTGAGACAGAGAGAGACAGAGCATGAACGGGGGAGGGCCAGAGAGACAGGGAGACACAGAATCTGAAACAGGCTCCAGGTTCTGAGCCGTCAGCACAGAGCCCAACGCGGGGCTCGAACTCCCGGACCGCGAGATCGTGACCTGGCTGAAGTCGGACGCTTAACCGACTGCGCCACCCAGGCGCCCCTTAGCTCATATTTTAAAATGAAGTGTTCCGACATGTTTGGGTTTTTGTATTGTGTTTTAGAGTAAAGCCCTGCTGTTAGTTGAGATTAACAAAGCTAATTGTGTCTTTTTTTTTTTTTTTTTTAATATTTATTTCCAAAGGAAAATTACTCAACCAGTTTTGAAGTTTCTGGGTCATGCCATGTTCTTATCCATGGGATTCATGGTTACCGTGAAAGGAAAGGTGGCAAGTCCTGCGGAGGCACCAATTTTTGTCGCTGCCCCTCATTCAACATTCTTTGATGGAATTGCCTGTGTCGTAGCTGGGTTACCTTCCATGGTGTCTCGGAACGAGAACGCACAGGTCCCTCTGATTGGCAGTAAGTACTTGTAAGACAATATAGATATTTTCATGCTTGGGGTTCAAATTTGTAAAAAAATCATATATAGTTTATCGGTAGGCTTTTTAAAAACTTTAAAATAATGAAACACTTCAAAGCGATTTATTCACTTTTTAAAAAATGTTTATTTATTTTTGAGAGAGAGAGAGAGAGAGAAATAGAGCAGGGGAGGGACGGAGAGAGGGCGACAGAGGATCCGAAGTGGGGTCTGTACTGAGAGCGGAGAGCCCAATGAGGGGCTCGAACTCACGAACGTCGAGATCGTGACCTGAAGCCAGATGCTTAACCCACTGAGCCACCCAGATGCCCCTATTTTCTTACTTTTAATGAGGAACTATATTTTCAGAATGAGTTTGTGATAAAGTTTAGAGACTCCCCTACCTGTACCCTTATAATTCTTAATAAATTCATATCTTTATCAGGGTCCAGTGACTTCCTTTTGTTCTTTTTTTTTTTTTTTAATTTTTTTTTTCAACGTTTATTTTATTTTGGGGACAGAGAGAGACAGAGCATGAACGGGGGAGGGGCAGAGAGAGAGGGAGACACAGAATCGGAAACAGGCTCCAGGCTCTGAGCCATCAGCCCAGAGCCCGACGTGGGGCTCGAACTCCCGGACCGCGAGATCGTGACCTGGCTGAAGTTGGACGCTTAACCGACTGCGCCACCCAGGCGCCCCTCCTTTTGTTCTTATATAGCTAGAAAGACCGAGTTTCAAGTACCAAACATGCTTGATTTTCTGGAGGGAGAATTGAACCAGAGAACTGGTGAAAACACTGTGTTACGTGCTATTTCACGAATTTCTCTTGAGAGTATTAAGCTCACCCTCACATGGAGTCTTTCCTCTTAACTCTGTTTTCTTATTATTGCCCCAGAATCTCCATGAGGGACCTGAAACTCTTTGAAAATTATGATGTAGAACAATAAGTACTTCCTGCCGTATAAAATAATGAAGCAAATGAAATGCTTATCCCACCAGGTGCTATGGTCTCTCCCTAGGGTGTGAGTCTCTAAGTGACTGGTCCCCGGTTGCCCCAAGGTTATTGCAAGCAGCAAGTGGTGGCAGAGTGGGTGTGGAGGTTGCCTGAGGTTGCCTTGGCGCTTTGGAGAAACAGTCGTGTCCTCAGCTTTGTCATTCAGCTCAGAAAAATTCTCTCTGTCTCTCTTTCTTTCACTCATTCTTTTTTTTTTTTCCTCAGTGTAGCCGCAGTGCTTTGTATCATATGGCATTTTCCTAGAAAGCTGTTTAGCAATGGAATTTTGGCAAATTGAGGCTTATTTTGCATGCCTGAGGAAGCTACCTACTCAGAAGACTGTCGTGCTGAAAATTTTAGTAAAATTAATAATTGCCCCTTATTCGTATGTACTGTGAATTCACATAATCAGTTTTCTTTTTTTTTTTCAAAATGTGTTTAATGTTTATTTATTTTTGAGAGAGAGACAGAGAGACAGAGTGTGAGTGGGTAGGAGCAAAGAGAGAGGGAGACACATAATCCAAAGCAGGCTCCAGGCTCCGAGCTGTCTGCACAGAGCCTGATGCGGGGCTCAAACCCACAGGCTGTGAGATCATGACCTGAGCCAAAGTCTAACGCTTAACTGACTGAGCCACCCAGGCGCCTCTGGAAGCTAAATTCTTATAAACTTTAAATTGGAGGGTTTTTTTTTTTAAAGTTCTCTTTGATTTGCTGTATTTTAATTTTACATAACACTTGTTTTATGATTCATACAGTATCATTGCTGTGATAGCTTTAGCCAAAAAAAAAAAAAAAAAAAAAAAGACTCAGTTGTGACCTTTTGTTTGTTTTCAAGGACTTTTACGAGCTGTGCAGCCAGTGCTGGTGTCCCGTGTAGATCCGGATTCTCGAAAAAACACAATAAATGAAATAATAAGGCGAGCAACATCAGGAGGACAGTGGCCGCAGGTAAAACACAGGGGACGTTCATTTAGAATACTGTGAGTTTGTTTCTTGTTTGTGTACTTGGAAATCGTTTGGCTCCACAGATGGCAGTATCTGGGGACACCTATGCTAGGTGTTTTCAGCATAATGGGAGCAGAATAAATGAGTGAGTATTCAGAAGTCTTCTTCCCCAGGAGATATCCCGTGGGATTAAATGTATCATTCTTTCTTATTCTCCGGCCTCTTTGAACCAATTTTTACTTTGTGTCATAAAAAAATACATTCTCTGAATTTATTTATAATCTTAAAGACAGCCTATCAAAGCTCAATTATAGTCAACAGTATGGTATGTTTATTGGGGGGAAAAAAAGGGATTATGATCTTGGTCTTATCCAAAGTATATTTAGACAGAGCTTTTCAGATCAAGGGGTATATAAGGAATCACCTATAGAACTTTTCCAGATTCTCCCATCTCACTACCTCCAACCCTGGAATGCCTTTGGAAGGTAAGGGGAGGGGCAACTGTTACTGGATAATTCTGATAAGTATCGCTCTATCTTGGCCCTGTGATCTGGCCACCCATGATGATGCGTAGATGTTATAATACCAAGAGGAGTATCACCCAGCAGGAGGTTTCAGAAACCCAGGGATGTGAGGAATGATTTAAAAAGTGACCAGGAAGAAGTGACACTTGGAATAAGGGTTTGACTTTTCTCTTTGGATCCAACGACTATATCTAGGATTGTGGGCAAAAGTTAACAAATAGGTAAGATTTCAGCTCATTTCACCCACCTCAAGGAACTTTCTGTCCAGAGACAGAATGATCTGATCTGAAATCCTTTTCTAGAATTTTCAGGCACTGGCTAAGCAACAACTTGAGCGGGGGGAGGGGAGTGTTGTAGAAAGAATTCAAGCACTGGAAAGGCTATATGGCTTTTAGTGCCCCTTCCAGATCTGAGATTTTATGATTTACTCTATATCCGTTCATTGTTAATGGAGTAGCTGTAGAATTTCCATTGAATGAGCCATGTTTGATAGTGTATCTTGTTGTAAAGGAAACCTATTTTGTTTTTTGTTTTGTTTTGTTTTTAAATTGGGGGATGAAATTGCACACACTTACAATCTTTATTTTATAAATAGCCTGTCATTGTGGCACATTAGGCTGATTAAGTTTTCCCTTTCTAATTATTAAACGATACAAATACTAACTAAGTACACATACTAACTGCTGTGGGTGCAGGATTTTTCTTTTTTGTTATTTTATGTACTTGGCAATTTACTCGTTGCCAAATCCTGAAATCCTTAGCAAATCCAGCCTGTTCCGTTAATGGGGAAACTAACTGTGCTCTGTATCTTTCACTTGAAGAACACAAAGGCCTATGTTAAATGCTAAAAACACTTTCTCCAACAAGATACTAAACTGTATTCCATATGTCTACTAATTCAAGGGAGCATAAAGCATACTGCAAGTATTTCCTCCTTTTTGCTTCCTCCGTATATCCCTAAACTATGTGTTGTAGGAGTGAATATCATTTAACAGGGAAAACAGAAACAAGGAAGTAGGAACGATTTGGTTAAGGATGTATAGCAGTAGAGGAAAGAATCTAATGTGCTCTTTGACCAGGTCTCAGGGTCTATATCTTCTTTTAAGTTTATTTCAGATCATTAGCATCATCATTAAGAAACATTTGCTAAGTGTATTTTCTATTCAAAGCTTTAATCCGTTTTCTAATTACCTTAATGGTCAGACGACAGTTCTTTTAGAGGAAAACCGAATAATCTGATTCTAGTTTTCGGTAGAATCAAGCGTTAGCCTTTTATTTCATTTTCGTCTTCTAAGAATTGGCAGCTATTTGTGAAGTTGTAAGAAACTGAGTAAAGAGGTAACCAATTCATTGGACTGAAATATTAAATCTACGTATTCCTTTTCTCCCAAGATACTAGTTTTCCCAGAAGGTACTTGTACTAATCGTTCCTGTTTGATTACTTTTAAACCAGGTGAGATCAATTAAATTATGTACTATAACAAACTATGGAAGATTTCTCAAATGATTTGATACTAATACACAAAACAATCTGTTAGTTTGTTCTGGGCGTTTCTTTTCCGATAAAAAGTTTTTAACACAGTGAATCTGCAGAACTCCTTTACTTTCTCTTTTGGTCTTTTGGTATCACAACCCCTTCTTCCTTGGATAGTTGTGTGTGTGTGTGTGTGTGTGTGCACGCGCGTGTGTGTGTGCATGCACACGCACACACATGCACACACATATCCATGCACACGCAGAAACCACTGGCAGATTTTTCTTTTCCTTCAAGGCTACCCTCACAGACACCCCAGGTCCTGTGTTTTCTTTTTTTTTTTTTTCAACGTTTATTTATTTTTGGGACAGAGAGAGAGAGCATGAACGGGCGAGGGGCAGAGAGAGAGGGAGACACAGAATCGGAAACAGGCTCCAGGCTCTGAGCCATCAGCCCAGAGCCCGACGCGGGGCTCGAACTCACAGACCGCGAGATCGTGACCTGGCTGAAGTCGGACGCTTAACCGACTGCGCCACCCAGGCGCCCCAGGTCCTGTGTTTTCTAATGGAAAACAAGTGATCATTGTAATGCCTTCAGATGCCTTCTACACTTCACTCTTTTTTTTTAATATTATAAAGTCATAGATTTCATAGAGATGTATAATTTCATACGTAATTTCATAGTAACTGATAATACTTTCACATGTGTTTGTATTGGCTGCTGGAATGCTCAGAGCCCAAGTCAGAACTCACTTCTAGCAAGTGGGGCTCGTTCTTGCTACAAGTATTTGCTTTGATTTAGATTTTCTTCTCCCCATTTTCTCTTTGTCTTGACTTTGCCGTTATTTTTATTTTTTTAATCCTGTTGTATAATAAGTATTTAGAAAATGAAAACATGTGGGGATGTAAATAAATCTTTTCAGTGACTTGGGCATAACATTTAATATCTTGGTTTCCTAATTCTGAATTTTAGAACTCTCTCATTTTGGTAAAGCACTAGGGATTCTACCAACATTTCACCGTTTGTGTGTATTCTTAAAGCAGTAAAGTATATGTGTACCGTTTATTATTAATTCTCTTTATGGTAATCCTCATGTCATATATGAAGATGTAACGTCTCAATGTGGTTTTAGGGGCCTTCATTCCAGGGGTTCCCGTGCAGCCGATCCTCCTTAGGTACCCGAACAAGCTGGTAAGCATAGTGTTTGGCCGTGGGAAAACATCTCAGACATTCCGAACAGCACAAATCCTCCGGGACCCCTTTTAGAATTTGAAGAAAGCTCTGAATAGACAGAGGCTGGAAGCACATGGGTAGACCCCATTCCCCGTGCCACATTTCATTTCTAGAAGTTTGCCAAGAGAGGCACGTGTTTGTGGACACCAATATTACACGATGTCTCTGGTATTCCTAAGCTCCAGGAAGGCATTTCCCCAGTTTCTCCTCTGTTGTTACTGTGATGGTCCAATGAAGTCTCAGATTCAGGCTCTTATTCGCCTGGGTAGCAGGAAACGTGCATAGATTTGTGATTTGCACTGAGCCTACAAAGAGACTTTTCCTGATTCAGCGGTCAATACTGGAGGGATAGCTGGTGTCGCAGGATAAATCTGGGACTGGCTTGGGGTTTCATTACTGGCTCAGTACTTCCTAGCTGTGGGACTCTTGGCAAGTAACGTGAATAAGAAGATACATGAAAAGAAGCTGTCATCCTATAGAAGGTGCACGGTTGGCTCAGGAAACAGGGACTTCCACTCCAGCTGGGCACACCTCTGTATTCTGGATATTATTGTGCCGCCGCTTTCCTAAAGAAAGAATTTTTGGAATCTGTTTTGTCTTGAGAGGAACTTTCTCTACTAGAGACTTTCCATGAACAAGCAGAATGTAATGATTCATTATCTATGTCACTTAAGATCAAGAGTTCTCGATCAATTCAACTTCCTTTCAGTGGCTGTCTTCTCACCTTTGGACACCCCCTAGTTAAAAAATTAGTATCTATCAAGATTTACTTAATTGTACTTCTGCCTATTTGGCATTTATGTAAATCCTTTCACTATGTACTACTCTAATCTTTTCTCCCAAGCATGTACCCCTCCCCTTTTTTTGGGGAACTTATATATTCTGGGCTTTATAAGCAAATTAATCATCCAGATGTGTTCACATTAGGAGAAAAAATAGCTAAGCGTGCTCAGAATTCTATTAAGAACTAAAAGCAACTTAATTTCCTGAAAAGATAGGTGGCTACGTATAGAAAAGAGATTTTTGCCATGTAGAGATATAATCCAAGAATTCATAGAGCAATTTGCTGTCGTTTAATAGGCTTGTTTTACTTTTCAACATACTGCTTTTAATTCAGCAGGGACGTACATGAGTACCAATATGAAAATAAGATTTTGATTTTATTTAGCTTTTATTTTTTCTCTGAACTAACAGTCTAAACACCTTTGTTATTGTAGGATACCGTGACGTGGACATGGCAAGGATATACATTGTAAGTTGCTTCTATTATTGGTTTATATAAATTTTGTTCAGTGAAGAAAAAGAAAAATTATTTATTCCTTTTTTTTAAAAAAAAAAAAAGCCTTGTTTTTGTAAAAGTAAAGATTTCTAATCAGATCCTAGAATCTTGTAAAGGAGAAAGTCTGTAGAGAGCATCACTATCTTTCCTGTTAGCCCCCAGCGCCGGCCACGTGCAGAATTCTGGCTGTCTGCCGTGTTCTTGCGGGTCTCACGTGTGTAGCTACCAATCCTTAAGAAACAGTCCAGTGACCCAGTTTGTACCCTACTTAGCTTTAATCTTGTAGTTTTATTCCCACTGCAGATTTAGCATGTTATCTGGTGTCTCCATTGTTGTTTTACTATATCGGTTTAAGCAGTCCGGAGTCATTGCGTCATATGGCCTAAAATAGCTGTGATGTGTCTGATCTGAGCTGAGAAAATAGCTAAGCTCTCAGTTCCGTTCTTGGATTTTAAAAGCAGAGGGATCAGCAGTTTCTATAAACATTTAAGACAGGAGAGGAATACAGCTCGCCATTAAGCAAGCTGCATTGAAACAGGCCTTTAAAAAGAACAGAGCATGTACAATCGTACTTTCTCTCGAGACGTTTTTGTCGAGATCCCCCTGGATAAGTCTGAGCTGGTTTATATTTGGTGAGAGCCATGTAAAATGCCTGGATGTGAGGACTTTGCCTGGGGCTTACCCAGCAATGCCTTTTGATACTATTACATAGAGAGTTTACATAATGTTGTCGATGCATAGACAACCACTTGGACCTATTTAAAAGGGAATCTTCATTCGCCTTCAAGTATCTTGTAACTTCCTTGCAAACCTCTTAGATAATCCAAACAATGTATGAAAGTCAGATTTCTTTTATGGTGCATGCCAATTTTCTCCATTTTGTATGTGTGAATTGCATCAAAATAATAAATTTAAATCAGAATAGGTAACTGATGGGCCATTCACATGTGTTAGTGTTTATTAACATGTGAAACATGTATGTTCCTATTACGCTTCAGTCCTTCATAGTTGAAGTTAAGTAAACGACACTCAAAATAAAGACCACAAATTGTAAAGAATATCTAGGCATTATGTGGTCTTTAACTCTTCAGGAAATCAGTTTATTTATTCGGCTAGAATACGTGTTTTGTGCCACTGTTGATCTTGGGTTCCTGGTTTTCAGCTTTTTATACGAGAGCAAGTGAGAAGAAACAAATAGTGTGAGAGTATTTTAGAAAAAGGAGTGCCTACAAACTGGATACAGTGTGTCTTTATAGTTCCTGAGTTGTGTCATCCTTAGGACCCTGACAATTTAAGTGCCTTGCAGAGATAGTGACTTCAGATTCACAGTGCGCTCAGTATGGCTTTTTCAAACTTTTTCAGCAGTCCAGGTAGGCGTGAAGGTCAAGTAGGAGAAGGCCTTCTTGGAAGGGGGATCAGGATAGAAAATGGAGTGTTCTGGTTAAACCAGCCTTCTAACAAGTGTGACAAAGGGAAGAAGTAAATAGGAGAGAGAATTCAGAAAAGAGAGGAAAACACTTTTTGAGGAGTTAAAGATTTCTTAGGAGTGATAAACACAAAATCTTTAAAAGGCACAGCTTTGTTTTGTCCAAATGCCACGTTGTGCTTGGCCTGTGGTAACTCTCATTTCTGCCCGAATCTTCCAGTGGGCTTCATACCATATTTAGCACTGAATCTGTTACTCTTAAGTCAGTTTCCTCAGTTGCTCCTGCTCCAAGGGCTAGTCTAGACTCAGATTCTAAGGAAGAGATTCTATACCAAGACAGACAGCCTAAGGGAGAGAGTTCATAAACTTGGGGAATACACTCAGAGAAAGGGCAGCTATGGAAAAGCCATTTTGTGTGGGTCTGAGAAGTGTTGTTTGGACAACACAGGTTCAATGAGATCTTATGCCTGGCTTGTTTCGTTTCCTTCCTCCTTCCTTCCTTCCTTCCTTCCTTCCTTCCTTCCTTCCAGCATTCAGAATTTTCAGAACAGATTTGTCTGTGTGAATCACCAAATTCAAAAGTTCAATTTAAATAACTCAGGGACAGGGGCGCCTGGGTGGCGCAGTCGGTTAAGCGTCCGACTTCAGCCAGGTCACGATCTCGCGGTCCGTGAGTTCGAGCCCCGCGTCGGGCTCTGGGCTGATGGCTCAGAGCCTGGAGCCTGTTTCCGATTCTGTGTCTCCCTCTCTCTCTGCCCCTCCCCCGTTCATGCTCTGTCTCTCTCTGTCCCAAAAATAAATAAACGTTGAAAAAAAAATTAAAAAAAAAAAAGAAAGGTACATAGAAACAACTATTTCAGAAATTATCTTTGAGAGGGTTGGCTTTAACCACTTTAAAGAAAGCCTTTATCTGGTTTTACAATGAAATTTGGAACATTTCAGAAAATTTCTCCTTAAATAAAATATTGATTATTAATTGGGACAATTATGATAAAGTTTCTGCTTTTAGGCAAAGGCCCACTGGTTTTTTGTTTTTGTTTTTTTTTTAATATCAGAGAAGAGTTTCGAAATGTAATGTTTACTTCAGGAGTTTTCCTATAAGCACATTTATGTACCTTAAAATGTGGCCTTGGTAGTTTCTCTAGGCTCGTAGGCCTACAAGCCTGAGTTGTCAGGGAGACTTCACATTTGGGGTTTAGTCTGCCGAGCTGCAGCTCTGACTCACAAGTACATATTTGGTGTTGTACTTGGTGATTTAACTTTGGAATATCAAGAATACTTGCTTAAGCCCAAGGAGTGTTACAGCTGCCGTGTGGCATTCATAAGCACAATATATATATATGAAGTATGACGTGGCAGTGTTTGCCTATAAAGAAAGGATCGTCGGGTGATATAGATGATACTTGTATTACCATATAAAGATGGCCTGTTCTTTTTTCTCCTCAGCATTCAGCTCTGTATGCTCACTTTCTGCCAGCTCTTCACAAAGGTGGAAGTTGAGGTAAGTCATTCAAAAACAGTCTTGGAACTGGAGATTTGGCCTTTCCTTTTCTTTTGCACTTCTAGTCTCGAGAGCCCCACCGTACAAGGGTTGGCAGTTAAATCCGCCATCTTTAAAACAGACGCTGGTCTTTTACAAACTGTCCACCTGGCTGTCAGATCCAGCCCTTGGAATCCTATCAGGAAAAACCTCTGGCTTCTGGGAACTTTCATAGGCGACCACCCTGGCTGACCAGATTTGCATAACTGGTTTCTATCATCCTCCTTTCAATGCTGACCTCTGCCCGGTTGAACGGTATGGTATGCTTCACATCTTGACAAAAGGAGCTACATACAGTAGCCAATGGAGCCCCACAGCTCCTGGAAGAGTACGTTCTGTCAGAGCGGAGAGGTGCTACTTGGACTCTGGGGAGAGGCACAGATGTCAGAAGCCCTCACTTTGGACTCACTCTGCACCTGGAAAGCCTGAGGAAATCCTCTCTGGGAGGCAGCGCATGTCAGCATTCTTTTGGTCTGGTTTGGCCGTCTTTGGGTTTGAGTTGCAGAGACAGGCAGGGAGTGCGGGAGCGATTAGATGGTTCTGAAAATCCTGGCCAGATTTTTAAGAGTCTGAACGATGGTTCCAGAACCGTTCTTAGATGCTAGCAATGATGAGGAATGGACTCCTAAATACAGAGTCAGTAGAGTTGGCTCTAGTGATACCCTCAGGGAGCCTCTGAAGAGAGAAGGGTCCGAAGAGCGAGTCAGGCTCTTGCTTTCATTTTCCAGTTGCATCCGTAGATTGTGCAATGAGAACTCTAAGTTTGCCTATGTTAATTCGGAGTCCTGAGTGGGGGCCCATGCTCCCAGTGACAGGACATGGAATTTAAGTCAAAAGAATACTGGTTTTTTGTTGTTGTATAGCTTAGTCATTTAGCCACATAAAGGTCAGAAATACCAAATGATGTAGGGGGCAAATTGCATTTCGAAATGAGTTTCACTTTGGTGAAATGTTTCTGGAGACTTACAGGTTGTCTGCTTGCCAGGAAACGATCTATTTATTCATTGTATGCCACACTTCCCCCCCCTTTAAAACCAGTTCAGTCTCTCTCAATGTGATCAAAAAAACACTACTTCTTAGAATATACTTAGATGTTTCTAGAGAAAAACAGTAATCTGTACTCTAATAAGTTTGAGAAATACCAGTGTAAATAAAATCAATCGGATTTCTTTTTCTCAAGACCTGTCAGTGCCTTTGAGATGGTGTGACCACCATATCCTTTTTTCTCTGGATACCTCCTGGAAGCGGTGTTCCATAGGATATATTTTGGGAAGCCCTGTCAGGAAGAAATATTATATTATTTCTAAGTACTCCAAGAGTGCTCTTCTGTCCTTCATAGCTGTGCAGATAGACTAGCTCTGTTTGCTTTCTCTAAAAAAAGGAAGGGAGGAAGGAAGGGAGGAAGGGAGGAAGGGAGGAAGGAGGGAGGGAGGGAGGGAGGGAGGAAAACTTATACTTAAAACACCCACCCTGTCTTCTCTGCAAAATGGGAAGATATTGTTTATATAATATATATGCTGCCCCTTCCTCTAAATTTACCCTTCCCCAGCTAAAACAAGATCTAGCAACAGATGTGGAAATGCACCTAGAACTGTCTAGCACATGTCTCAGTGGTCAAACTATTACAACAGAGGTATGCAAAGGCCTCATTTTTTTGTCCTGACCATTATTACCACATTTCCTTTCTGTGTCATGGCCTTTTTCCTTTTCTATCTTCCTTCCTTCCTTCCTTCCTTCCTTCCCTTCCTTTTCTTTCTTTCTTTCTTTCTTTCTTTCTTTCTTTCTTTCTTTCTTCTCTCTTTCTCTCTTTCTCCCTCCTTCCCTCCCTCCCTTCCCCCTTTATTCCCTCCTTCCTTCTTTTCCATTACAGTGTTTGCATTCTCCAGCCAGTTCTTAGACCTGTTTGAATAATATTTGCCGGCAAAGAAAGAATATATCCTTTGATAACTTCACAAACAAAATGGCTAGCACCTGGTTTAGAATAGCTGAGCTGGTAAGATTCAATGTGTTTGAATTGTGGTGCAGGGCGAGAGGATGGGACTCTGTGGCCTTCACATGTAGTCTTCTTACTTTAATTATATTTATTTTCGATTCATGATGCTACCTTTCACCTTGGGGACTCCTCACCACTTTATGACTTTTGAATATTTTAATTCCCCCCGGTTGGGCACAATTGAAAAATGTATCCCACAGCCCATCTGGTGCTCTCTGTGTCCACACCCTGGCTCAGGGCCCTGGAGAGTTGGGCACTGTGTCAAGACTCCGGCTTCTGCACCACATCTGGGGATGCCCGACTTGAGCTGCCACACATGTAGCTTAGTTAGAAGGCTCGGCATGTTTAGTTGTGCCAACTACAGTTGTGTTGGTTGTTCAGAAGCACCCCCTCCCAGCGCCCATGTTCATTACAACTGATGGAGATCCTAGTTATTATTTTTTACATATGTTTTTAGAACTTTAGAACTTCTAGTAACCAGTTAAGCTTAATTAAGATGTACCGTTCAAGAATGTGGTCTTAAGTTTTGCGGTTTTTATTTTTGTTTATTTTTTATTTTTTTAATGTTTATTTATTTTTGAGAGAGAGAGAGAACAAGCAGGGGAAGGGCAGAGAGAGGAGGGGACAGAAGATCCAAAGCGGGCTCTACAGTGACAGCAGCAAGCTCGATGTGGGGCTCGAACTCGTGAACCGTGAGATCATGACCTGACCTGAAGTCAGAAGCTTAACCGACTGAGCCACCAGGCACCCCAAGTTTTGCAGTTTTTAAAATGAACTTGAGTGGATCATTTGGTATCCTTTTAGACACCGCGCTGGTGAGTCATAGGACATCTCTGGATGCTGAAGGCTGTATTCTTTCCTTTTACAACTCACTCCTCACTGATGATGATTTTCCAACTCTGTAGTTACCGAAACCATTGGATAGCTAACACCTAGGGAGTGTAATGTCTCCTCCCCTCACTCCCTCTCTGCTTTCTCAACAGAGACTTGCTTTTGAAAAGGCCATTATTTCCTTGACTCTTGAGTCTTAAAAATACAATCAGTTCCAAACCTCACACCCTCTATAATTGGTCTTCCGGCATCCTTGAACAATGATGCCATGTGTGTCTGCAGAAGGTTCTCCTGAAAGTTATTCTCTGGATCATAGTGGCATAGTGGATGTGTTTAAACTGTCTTTGAGTGGTTACTTTTATTGGCCAGCTACCTCACACGTATGTCTTTATAAGCATCTGGCTTAGGGGCATAGGGAAGAAGATAGCTGGTAGGAAACATCCCCAAATGTGACATAAATCAACAGCCTGCTAGTGAATCTCGTGAAAGAGAATCCATGCAAAGCCAGATTATAGGGCACTATGTGGACAGAAGCTCTTTTATGAATGGAAACAGGGCATTCACAGTGACCATCAGTCTGTTTCCTCCTTCATAGGTTACATCTCTATTTTTATTCAGAGCTATCCATTATAATACAGGTACAGAAAAATGTTTATAGGCAGACAGAAACATTTTGTTTTAGTAAATTCTTTTGCAAAGCTTAGAGCAAGCTTCTAGCAACTAAAATTGGACTTACAGTACTTTATGGTGGGCAGTCCATTGTCACAAGTAAGAGAAGGTCATTGTTTTTTTATTAAAAAAACAATTCTGATTTTGGAAAGGATTGTAATAGTGAGTGTTATGACCAACCCCTGTAGATAGATACAACTTTTTATTTATTTAAAAAAATTTTTTTTAATCTTTATTTATTTTTGAGAGAGAGAGAGACAGAGCGTGAGCAGGGGAGGAACAGAGACAGAAGGAGACACAAAATCCGTAGCAGGCTCCAGGCTCCGAGCTGTCAGCACAGAGCCCAATGCGGGGCTCAAACCCACGAACTGAGAGATCATGACCTGAGCCAAAGTCGGACGCCTAACCAACTGAACCACCCAGGCGCCCCAATACAACTTTTCAAATCTCCAAAGAGTTTATTACTTAGGGAAGGTTCAGATATGTTTATGTAGTTTATTTAATTATCCAAACACACTCATATGACTTGTAGTTTTGAATCTAAAACAAAGAAGCCTTTTAGAAAACCTCTATCACGCAAATACACACACACACATAAAACCTATATATGTGCTTGTTTTAACAAAGCTAATTTCTTCTGGAACTCGGTAGAATTCTGAAATTTCTAAGTAGTAGCAGAGAAATAGAATGTTGTATGTGGTGCCTAGGTGGCTCAGTCAGTTAAGCGTTCGACTTTGGCTCAGATCATGATCTCACGGTTCGTGAGTTTGAGCCCTGCATCGGGCTCTGTGCTGACAGCTCAGAGCCTGGAGCCTGCTTCTGATTCTATGTCTCCCTCTCTCTTTGCCCCTCCCCTGCTCACACACTGCCTCTCTCTCAAAAATAAATAAACATTATTTTTTAAAAAAAGAAATAGAATGTTATATAAAGAATATTAGCTGGGGTTTTCTTCCAATTCTGCTGCTACCAACCTGTATGTGCTTGAGTGAATGATTTAAGCCTCTCCTAGCCTGTGTTCTCAGTGGTAAAATGGGGATAATGGCACCTCTTTTATAGGGTGGTTAGCATTTAGTAAGGTTACTTACGTACTAGCACGTGGTAGGCGTTCAATAAGCATTCACTTGTATTTCCCTTATCCTCGAAATGTCTCTGTTCTTCAGGGAAGAAAGCAGCGAATGTTAGTTCGTAAATGCCTTCCTTGATTCGCATTTGCTCTTTCTTGAAGACTTCAAAGAAGAATCACGAGAAGAGCCAGACCTGCACGGTTGTTGAGAGTGATTCGTTAAAGTCCTTTCCTGTTACTTGGAAGAAGAAAAGACTGATTGTAGTATCGTCACTCATCAGTCTTTCTCTTTTTCACGATGGTCCATTTAGTAGAAAGGAATGTGCCCCGCGTGGTCAGGAAACAATGAATAAGGCAGTTTTGCTGGGCCTGAGTAGCCATGTAAAGGGTTGGCTCTGGATATCGGATCGCCTTCAAAATGGGCTGAAGATTTCTGACTTTATCTTGCGTGCAGCCTAAGGCCCCGGAGGAGGTAGGGCACTCCCAGACCAGCAGGACAAATGAGGTGTTAGCATGGGAAATATGTCGGTTAGCCTCCCCTTAGATGGGGCAGGGTGGTGCCGAGCCTGCGGGGGGGAGGAACGGAGCACATTGAAGCGAGGCCCGGAGCCAGTCTCGGGAGCAATGGGAAAAAACTGGGGAAGCTCACTTGGGCTGTTGTGGGGAGGCAGTGCCTGCCGTCTCCCTACCGAGGTTCCATAGCTGGATCTGTGAGATAATCTCATGGCGGGCAGATTAATAGGGGAAAGGATACACACATCTATTCATTTTTAATATGTGTGCAAGGCATCATGGGGAATAAAAAGTGGATACCACAAAAAGTAGTGAGGAAGGGGAAGGAGGGGGTAGGCCACGCAGGGGAGAGTCAGTGGTTTTTAGGAAAGACTGGTGGGCCCTGGGAAGAATAGACCGGGAGCTATGATAGCGTGTGATCACGTTTGTCTGTGTGTGATGTCGAATTCCAGTCGTGTCACCTGCGGTAAGAGTCCATCTTCCCTGTTGGATGAAACTCCCCAGGAGGGACTTTAGGACAGACGAGGGACAGAGTTCCTTTCGGAGTAGCTGACTTTAGGGAGGTAAGGGAAGTTCAGAGAAAACGTCTCCCCACGTTGGCTATTTTCCAAGTGCCTTCAGCTCAAAATAATCAGTATACCAAAGCGGTATGTTTTGGGGTCGCATGTCCTTAACTCTTTCACTGTCTTCCTTCTAAAGTTGAGCTTGAAGTACCATTGGGATGAAAAGTAGAACTGCAACCTGAGAAGCACAGACTGTGTTTGAAACATTTAGATATGACGGCAGCAGGTGCAGCACAGATATCCAAGCCGCAGTGAGGTTCATGTTAAGTAACTTGATCCTCACCTGTCACACAGACACTAAGGAAACAGACTCAGTATTGAGATCACATTCGGGGGCACACTTGCATGATTAAAAGGAAAAGGGAAGACCTTCAGCAAAACAAAACTGTTTCTGAGTCTGGAGGCGGTATGGTCACCTGGGGAAAATCACATAATTTTCAAGCAGCTGTAAGGACCCTATGGAGCTTCCCATGGATCGGAGGAGCCTCAGCCCGTAAGATTGTGCACCTTTCTTTAGCATCCCACAGTGGTCTCTAGGGATGGGAAGGCAGGAGCAGGAGAGGTGATCATGGGTATGTGGTTGGTGCCATGGGTGTGGCAGAAGGGGGAGATTCTGGATGACAGAAAGTCCACATGGAGGTGTCTGACTCCTGAAGGGCAGTGGGGACAGGCAGGCAGCTGTTGTCAGGAAGGGAGGGACGAGCGTGTCCTGAGGGTCACCAGCAGGTTCTTACAGTCTGTGCCGGACCAGGTTAGAGAAGTAAAAGCTAATAGGTGACGAAGGGAAATTCTCATGGAAGAACTTGCCAGAGAAGGTTAGCGTCCTATGTTTGTCGCCCTGGCTGAGGCACAGCTGAGAACACCTGTGGCCAGGTGGAGAGCCGTGAGATCAACATGTCTGATGAACCGTCCATGTGGATACTCGGGATGGTGAGAGAAGGTGAAGGTAGAAAAGAAAATTTGGGGTCCTGAAGACCCTGCAATATTGAGCTGTGTATTAGGGGACAGTAGCAGACAACAACAATCACGTTTTTCTGTCTTCAGCCAGTCTCCCTACCCACACAGAGGACCCGTATATGCTGTGAGCCTTGAATGTCTACATGCAAAATGGAAATGTATTAAAGAGGGCTAGGTCCGCTCCAAGGAGAAGTGACTTCTTACGAGAATTTCCATTGAATTGCTTCTCAGGAGGCATGGGAGGCCTCCAAGGCCCGTGCGGGTCAAATACAGGCTTTTAATTATTTTGTACTCTCAGTGGGATTTTCTTCATTGAGAATAAAATGCCATGCCAATATGAGAGTTATTAAAAATTCTTTCACAGAAAATATTACCTGCAGTAAAAGGAATTAAACCCACAGTTCGTCGTATTATGTTTGGTTAACAGTGTAGCCGTAATTTATTTTTCAGGGTTTTCAAGGATGTGCTTTTATGACCTACAGATTAAGCGTGTGTCAAATGATCGTGTGGCTTTTTTTTTTTAAAAAGTGAAGAATTATATGGCAATTTAAAACGTTTTTGTATTCTTTTGTTAGAGGTTTTATGAAAATTGATTTTTAACGTCCTGTTTTCTTCCTTGGATTTCCTACTAAGCACACATAAGAAATTCACATCTAGAACAGGATGGAGGGACACTTGAGAAAGATTTATCTGCAAAGATCGGATGTTGCTCTGGATACATAAGTGATGTGGGGACCTCTGGTGGCTTAGCGTGTTTTTCCATCTTAAAGAATAACGATCCTAAGTGGAAAGCTAACCGCCGAATTCCAGTTGGAGAGGGCTTTCGAGAACATCGAGTCGAACTTCCTCGCTTGACAAGAGGGGGAACTGAGTCTCATCAGGGCTGAATGACTTTCCCGGGACCTCACGGCAGAAACAAGACAGCAAGCAGCCGAAACAGTGTTCTTTGCACAGCATGCCACTGTCCCCTGGGAGAGGCTGTGTCACATAGCGGTCAATGGCGGTCACTGTCACCTAGCGCACGGTCCTACGATTCCTGTCCAGTTTCTCCTCCCGTACCACTTGCATCCATGCTTGCCTCTGTACCCTCACTCCCTCTGTTCGTGGTCTTTCCTTCTCTCACGGGGTGATTCCAGACCCTCCAGGGCTTCTCCCTGCTCTTAGCCTTTTCCTCTTTGGTTTGTCCACTCCTACCAACCAATGTTTCTGCTCAAAAGCTTGGACCTGGTCACCACAGCCCCTGGCTCACACTTCATCTCTGAATCACCCTTGCCCAAAGGCTTCTTGACGTGATTAACAGGATTTGAAAACAAGTCGACATGAGTCCAAAAGTGGTGTTCTTTATACAGTCTCCTTTCTCTTTCAAATCGTGATCCTGCCACTGGTGTGTGGTCTTAACCTCTTCAAGCTACTTTCTTCGCCCGTCAAGCGCAAGTGGTAGAACTGACCTCAAGGAATTGTGGAGAGTTGATCTTGTAAAGCCCCTAATATACAGTACCCGGCACATACCCAGCTATGGTATGTGCTTAGTGGATGGTAGCTCTCATTGGTAGACTGCATTCATCTGTCATAACTTTTACCCCACCGCATGGAGAGCTCCTTGAGGGCAGGGGCTTTGCTGTCCTGTCTTCTGGGTTTAGTGCAATGCCTGGCATACAGGAGGTGCCTCAGCAATATTTATTGAATGAAAATGGGCCATGAAGTCTTAAGCACGTCTTTTAATGTGAGTCCCAATCCTGTGACTAAAATCAAGAGGACTGGTGGAATGAAAATAATGCATATAAAACCCCTAGCACGGTGCCTGGTCCATAGTTATAATTCAATGAACAGTAGCTATTGGCGAGATCATGTTTATCCTTAAAAAGCCAAGATCAAGTATTAGCTCCTCTGTAAAGCTTCTTTGGCTGCCTTTCCCTGCCCCCTGCCAAATTAATCATTTCCTATCCCTTGCTCTCATACTCCAGGAAGGATGGTTGAGTGGGGAAAACAAGGGTTTTAGAATCTGATAGGACTTGGGCTGAGTCCTGGTCATGTGACCTTTATAACTTGAACCTAAATTAGTTGGTCTATCCTAGTAAAATACAGATCTTTTTTGGAGCAGGAATAGAGTCCTGTTAATCTTGCCTGGTATATAGTAGGTGCTCAAAAAATATGCAATGAGTTCAATATAGCACCAAAATCTTGTTAAATGTTAGAAAACTGTAAATAAAACAAGAACAGTACAAATGAGACATTACAGAATATCAAGTAGAGAAAAAAAAGTAAAATTTAAAATGATAACACATGATACTCTGCAGAAGCTAGAAAGCCCATGCTAAGGGTTAAAAGAGAGCAGAAGAAATGCAAAGCGTGACATTTGAACAAATGATAAAAATATGGCTGACACAGGCATGGGTAGAGAAGATAAATCATAAGAAACAGGTTACTTCTGGTACTAACATTTTCACACAAAGGGCTGGAAGTGGTAGGAGGTACAGCTTGGAGAATAAGATCTCAGAACCTACAGCTTTACAACTTCCAGAATATTCCAGGCACTGGCTTCTTTCATCCTCATCGCACTGAAGTGAGTGGGCGATCACAGCCCTCTTGTTAGGGTCCGGGCAACAGTGAAGAAAACTCCAGAGACCTACCAGTTAACACACAGAAAGACCCAGGGCTTGACTACGGATCCGCTGAGTGGCACACAGTGTTGTTCCCCGTCTAGCATGTAACCCATGCGCCAGGAAGGTGGGGGATTTAATATAATGACAGACAGCTTATAAATTAATGTATGTAACATTCAATGCTTAGGCTTAACAGTTGTAATGGAAAGGTATGTTTGTCTTGCAGTTTATGCCTGTTCAAGTACCAAATGATGAAGAAAAAAACGATCCCATCCTTTTTGCCTGTAGAGTCCGGAGTCTAATGGCAGAGTGAGTTTCTATATATCATCATAATCAATAAATAGTTTTTAAATGATTGGTAAATATATGGTTTTTATATAGTTTTAGGATTTGTTTTTTTGTTTGTTTGTTTGTTTGTTTGTTTTTTGTTTTTTTAATTCCGAGGGTCTCATTTCTTAAGTCATTCTGGTTAGAAATTCTAAATGTGCCCCGGAATGTGGTAGAACAATCTACGAATATTTTCCCCAGATGCAGCCCCAAACTAATGGCTATGTGTCTTTGCCAGAAAGGGAGCAGGGAGGATTCAATAACCAGAAGAGAGCAGCCAGTGACTTCCACGGGGTGGGTTCTCCTAAGCTGGCCTGTGGCTGTCTGACAAAGCCTTGTGACGGTCTGAGCCCTTCATGGTCCGCTTCCTATGGCCCAGCCTCCACAGAGCTGCCAACGCTGGGTGTTTCAAAGGCATTAATGAATACAGCAACAAAAAGGAGGAAGTTTGCAAGGGAACGTAATGGAGGCACAGAAACGGGGGGCAGTCGCCCCCATTCGGAATGGCTATAAGTTTAGGATTTGTAAATCGCAAAACGGGAGGCAAGTATTGTCCTGCGCTTAAGGGAGTTGTAGCTGCCCATCACTCTGATTAGATCAATCTCCTCCCGTCCTGTAATGAAAGCATGCATGTCATACTGTCCGACCTCCCAGGCAGCCCTACGGGGTGCTCACCCTCATGCCAGGTGCCACCTCTTTCCGCCATTCCAGTAGGAGGGTTGACGCTCATAGGCCGGCGATATTTATCCCCACTAAACATTCAAATGAGAACTCTGAATTCAGCTTCATGACTGAATTTGGTATTATAAGCAAGATTATATTTTTTATTACGTATATATTATATATATATTAATATTTCACAGGAGAAGAACTTTATTTTCAAAACAATAAATTTTCAAATGTTCAAAAAAATTTTACTATGTGTACCTATAGGTACTTGATTTTCCCAGTTTCTAGATTAGCTACAAAATCTGCTTTTATATTGTTTTCTTCCCTTTCTCCTTATGTTTTCATAGGAGCTCATGTCCAAAAGTTAGGAACTAAGATACATTTGGGGAATGGAGGGAATTTATACCAGGTATTTTGACCTCCCAATAATTTGCCTAAAAACAGAGCAGGGATTTGATTAGGCAGCCGTTTTGGTTTTTTTCTGAATTCGGAGCCGTGGAGATTTAAGGGTCTTGGATAAAGAGTAGGAAGGACCTCCATTAGCTGCACAACCATGGACAGACAAGTCCCTCGAGGGGTCCTTTTCCTCCCGTGTAAAGTTGGAGTTAGAATACTCGTCTCCCCTCTCTGATGGTTTTGGTTATCCTGAGAGTCACCTAGGAGAGTGTATGACAGAAGCATTTGAAAGTGGTAAAGTGGTGGTGCTACTACTCTTGATAAATACTTACCGAGTACTGTGCCAGGCTGTTACTCTGGGTAGCTAACGTGACCCTCACAGCACTTCTAGGAGGCAAGCGAGGGACCTGAGATTCAGAGCGGGAAGTCGTTTGCCCAAGATCATAGCAGACAGTGAGGGTCTGGGCTGGGACTCACATCCCCACTTGCTACCCAAACCCAAAAGCTCTTAACGAGCATGCTGTACCCATGGAGCATGATAAGTTATACATTCCTGAAATAGTTAAAATGTTTATTTTCCCACTTACGTATTCTTATACCAGAATGTTTACTCATCAAAAATAGCCTAGTTGTAGATAGAAAAAAATACTTTATTCATATCCCATTCATTGAAAATGTCACGTTCTTCACGGTGATTCAACAAAACCAAATACCGTTGAAGATCTAACTTCATGAGTCTCACTGAATATTTGTGAATGAAAGTTTTTTGAAGAGGAATCTTCAGGAAATTATTTCATGTTCTGGCCAGGCTTTCTTCTCAGTACTCAGTTTTTTTTCAAGTCATTATATATATATATATATGTATATATATATATATATATAATATATGTATATATATGTGTGTGTATATATATATATATATTTATGTATATATATATATATATATATATATATTTCCAATCTAATTCATTATCAGATCTCTGAGCAGGAGGGAGCTAGTAGGGGTTATGTGCTCCTTCGAGGGTGGAGGATGTTTAGGTTTGGAAGAAATCTTGAGCTTATTATCAGTTCTCTTTAGTATTTTCAGAAGATTATGTAGCAAGAAGTCATCTCCAGTTTCGAGAGATGGAAAAACGCAGATGGCTAGCGATTTGGGTAGATTACTCACTTACACTGTGTACAGACAAATGTAGCTGTTCCAATGGTACTCCCACAGGCATTTTCGGCCCATCTTTACAATAGATAACCCTGTAGAGTAAGTAGGGTAATTATTCCTATATACAGATGACAAGAGCGAGGCTTAGGTTAAGAGCCAAAAGGTCCACAGCTGGTGAAAGACTCCACCGGACTGGAACCTTATTCCTTTCCCTGAGACTGGACTGGACTGGAAGCCTTATTCCTTTCCCTGAGACTGAAGTCAACTATTGTCACAGTTAAAACACAAAACAACCAGGAAGTGTGTGCAGAAGGAGAGAAATACGTCTCTTTTGCAATAATAAGCCAAAGCTACTGGTTTAAAAAGTAGTAAATACTTCCCTGTTTACTGTTGTTCGTTCACCAGCTCAGGCCTAATGAAAAAATCATTACCTTTCTTAAAAAAAAAAAAAAATTGAATTTGTTTGCTTTGAAATGCTGTTCAGAGCTTTGGGAATTCCAGTAACAGACCACACCTATGAAGACTGCAGATTAATGATCTCAGCAGGACAGCTAACATTGCCCATGGAAGCTGGGCTGGTGGAATTTACCAAAATTAGCCGGAAATTAAAGTAAGTATACCTTTAAATTGCTACAGTTTTGTAAAGGTGTCCCAAAGAGATCTGAACTCCTCTACACTTATTTTCCCTGGTTTCATTAATGCTCGGCTCGCGAACCTCCATGGTGTTTATTAAGGAAGGCAGATTTGTGAATTTATCTCCTATTTAGTTCATCCAGTTGTGTTTTTTCAAGGACAGTTAACTCAGAGACATATGTGTTGGTCACAGGAGGAGACTGAGAGAGAGTGGATATGGACCAGCACAGATCTGCCTCCACCCAGAAGGGTCTCAGAACAGTCAGCCTACCCCGCTGCCCTTTGCAAGGATGGCGTAATTAGATGGGACTGGCATGCGGTGGTCAGAACTTCTCGTGTGAAAAATGAATTGACTTGTAGAGAAGCAATTCTGACCATCACTGAATTTTAAGTACTTACCCTCAATCTCCTTTTTCTTCTGGGTACATACTTTTTTTTTTTCTTAAGGCCAAAACACCCCTTTGTGCTTTTATGAACAACCCATTTGAACCATCTGCTATGAAAGGTGTCACCCCTGGTTTCCCACTTACTACCATTCACTCTGTTTTCAGCCCTATTAGGGATTTGCAGAATGTATTGATTCCCTTGGCCTTGGCATCCTCCTTAGGAGGGAGCTGCAGAAGCAGTTATTGTGTTAAAGGTCAATATTTACTTATTTTTTAAAATATTTTTTGATACTTATTTATTTTTGAGAGAGAGGGACAGAGTGTAAGAGACAGAGAGGGAGACCCAGAATCTGAAGCAGGCTCCAGGCTCTGAGCTGTCAGCACAGAAACCCACAAGCCACAAGATCGTGACCTGAGCCAAAGTCGGATACTTAACCGACTGAGCCACCCAGACACCCCAGAGGTCAATATTTAAAGATAATAGAGCAAGTATTATTTATATCTTCTAGATAGCAAACACGTTTTGATGTTATATTTACAAAATTCGTATAAATTTGAAAAGTTTAGATAGTTTAGATACTGTTTAGATAGTTTAGATACTGAAATTGGATACAGAAGAAAGCAGTTATGTGTTAAGTCACCTGTTTAGTAGTACAAGACAAAGGCAGATGTGCTGTAAGCTACGGTACGTTTTCTGGTGTTTTAGTGTTTTTATAACTAACATCGGAGGAAGTGTGTCCTATCTAATGAATCTCCGACACAACATTTTGTAAAATGTGCGTTCATTATCAGCCTGGAAGCTCCTTAGAAATTAAGAGTGGTCTTTTTTTTTTTTAACAACTCAATAAGTACTTTTGACTTAATTAGTAATATTTGGATTACAATACGATTTCTTATTTTCTTTTCATGAGTCATTTCTTGTTCTGTCACATTGCTCTTCTCAGTTACTTTTCTTTTGCACAGATATCTGGGGGAAATTAGTCTTACCGATATCCTTTAAAAGACTCAGAAGCCTGGGGGGCGCCTGGGTACCTTAGTCGGTTAAGCGTCCGACTTTGGCTCAGATGACGATCCCATGGTTTGTGGGCTCGAGCCCCGTGTCAGGCTCTGTGCTGACAGCTTGGAGCCCGGAGCCTGCTTCAGATTCTCTGTCTCCCTCTCTCTCTCTGCCCTTCCCCCTCTTCTTTTCTCTCTCTCAAAAATAAATAAACACGAAAAAGGAAAAAACCCTCAGAAACCTGTATACATGTTCCATAGGTATCCCAAAATACCCATTTTATCTTCATTTTCAAATGTAACGATGTACGATATTTTTTCCCTCAGACAAACGAATGTTCGTAAAATGTCCTTGTGGATTGTAAGGGGCTGACAACACGCATCTCTGATTGTTTGTTTGCTTAGGTTAGATTGGGATAGCATTCGTAAGCAGTTGGACGAGTACGCAACCATTGCCTGTTGTTCCAAAGGAGGAAGAATCGGAATTGACGAATTTGCAGAGTATTTAAAGTTGCCTGTTTCAGATGTCCTGAGACAACTCTTCGCACTCTTTGACAGGGTATGTTAAAACGTGGTCTTCAACTTGCTGACATTCATACTCTGCCCGTCTCCACGGGGCATAAATCAGTACAGCATTAGAAGAACTTGGCAGGTCGCTGTTAGAGGAAGCGAGGCCGAGTGTGTGGTTTAATTTCATGATTTTGTTTGTTCCCCTTAATAAACGAGAGCAGTAGTAATATCATGATGTGCTTGTGTGCATGCACGTGTGTGTTGCAACAGTTATGATAGTATCTATTTATTTTAAACACCAAGTCAGAAGTAAAGATTGTGACCATACAAACCGTGTTTGTAATATGGAAATTGCCAAGGCCTCTTTAACTGGCAGGAACTTAAATATTTATGTCAAAATTCATACACTGAGGACAGGGGTGGTACTGTTCTGTTCTGAAGGTTTTGGACTTCCCCCAAAATGTGTGACCACCAAGTAGATTTTCTTTTCAAATAACATTTTAGGACAAAGGCTTCAATTAAAGCTTGGCTGTTAGCCATTGTATTGGGGGTACAATTTTCTGCTTATGAATATGTCAGTACACGCAGTTAGATAACTGAATTGTCACGGAGTCTCCTTAGGAAAAATGTATCAAGGTTTCAAGTTCTCTATTTTTAATGTGTTTTTTAACATATAAAATTGACAGTGAAGTTTACTGTCTTGGTTACAGTTTTACGAGGATTCATAAATGCATCGAGGCATATAACTACCACTCCATTCAAGATATATCACAGGTGCAAAAAAGTATCCCCTGGGGCTATTCTTTTATAGTCAAATCCTTGCCCTACCCTTAACCCCCAACAGTCACTCCAACCCTACAGCTTCGCCCGTTCTAGACGCCATATAGATGGAATCGAAGGGTACATATCCTTTTGAGTCTGGCTTCTTTGGCATAATGCATCTGAAATTCAGCCGTGCTGTTGTGTGTATCAGTAATTTGTTCCCCTTTCTTGCGGAGTGGTATTCCATCGTATGGACGCAACATTCTTGGCGTATCCGTTCCCCAACTGAGGAGAGTTTGGTTTGTTTCCAATTTGGGGCCATTAAGAATACAAACTGTGAATATTCCTGTATAGGTTTTTGTGTGAATGTAGGCTTTCGTGTCACCTGGGTACATACCTAGGACTGCGGTCTTGTTATTCCTTATCTGAGAGTGACTTTATGTTGCGCGGATTCCTGAAGGCTATTTGCGTGGTGAATAGAGCTGAGTTGCTAGCTCTTCCCTTTCAACAATTTAACGATGACGTCATACTGCCTTCGGTCTCCCACAATTTTGCTGCCTTACACTCCTTGTTCTTTCGCTGTGGCTTTCCTCACCAACCCTCCTGCCGTGGTGTCTGGTCCAGAGGTAGTTGCTTTCTGTGTTTTGACGAGAGTTTCTAATTATAATTGGAAGGAGAGGGAGGCCCAACTCGACTTAGTCCCTCCTGGCTGGCACCGGAAGTCCCCGTTCTCTATTGACCGCTGGGAAAAGATACTTCACGAGGAAATGACAGCCTGATGACAGCAACGAGGACACGGCTTCTTTTTCCCTTTACCCAGAGCACACTCACGTTCCTAATGAGCTAGTCTGTGATCTCTAAGACTCGCCATTCTTTAACGTGACTCACTTCAGCCACCTTCTCTGGGTAGTGCCCAGTGCCCTTTCCTTGGCTTGCTTGCGGCACACAAGTAATCTTTCCCTGTCCCTGACACTGCAGTGGCACTACTAGAAAGCATGATGAAGATTTAGGAGAAAGGAGAAGTAAGTCATCAGCTCCACCCATGCAAGTTGGGAAAACAGAAGAACTTCTCGCTTGGACTGTTACAAGTCTTTCTGTGGGATTTGTGTCGCATCCTCCTCTTTGACTCTAGATACCAGGCAAGTAATTTTAAATGAAGCTTCTATAAATATGAACGTGGTGACAGGAAAGAATATGGCAGGGATGTACAAATGAGGACAGGAGATGGGGAAATGGGAAGCGCCGTGAAGCAGGAACCAAGGAGGAAGTTTCGAGCACATCTTAGACCTTGTGCTCATCGGGATATTTGATCAAAATTAGAAACAATGTCTGTCGAGGTGGCCCTCCCTTCAGGTGTCAAACTGTCACCGCCAGCAGTTCCGGGGTCGTGAGGACCACAGATCATGAGGATCTGGCTGTCGATCACTGACAGTCCCTGCCGGCCGCCCCGTTCGTTTCTCTGGCAGTGTTAAGTATGGGCAGATTGGAAGTGGGGAAGGGAGCAGCACAAGGATCACAATAACCCCCCGGTGAGCCGGTTCCCTCTGAACTAGAGGGTACAGTGGGCTCCAGGCACTTAGGAGACTGGTGAGTGTTGGCAGCCAGTTTGGGCAATCACATTCCCGCGTGGACCGCTTCCACAGGTTCACACATCACTTACAACTGGGTTTGTCGCTTCTTTGTATAGTGTGATTTGGCTTTCGCTGCAGACAGTGAGATGGTCTCTCCAGCACTTTCCTTTTGATCTCCAAAGGTAGACAAAATAGTCTGGGGAATTAGTGACTAGAGCCCATGACCTTCCTTTCCTCTTTCCCTCTTTTCTCCCCTTTCTGTCTTTGTCTTTCTTTCCTTTTTTTTTTTTTGTCTTCAATACATCCGCATGTCTGTGCCTGTGAAGATTTGCTTTGTTTAGAGAAGGCGAATTATGCAATTGTTGCCACGCCCTGTGTGGGTGAGCTACTCCCACCCTAGGCTTGTTTTCTCAGTCTCTCTAAGTGATTTAGCTGGGGAATGTTCCAGGGGAAAGACAAGAAGTTCAGTAACGCCATAGTTTGTTTCCCTCAGGGTAGCTTATCATGCTAAACTCAATGTTTCATGGGGGGCGGGGGGGGGGGGGAGGGGGGGGGAGGAGGAGGGGAGGGGGAGGGGAGGGGGAGGAAGGGTGGGAACGAGAAAGGGCGGGGTGTTCCTGTGGGTCTTCCAGCAGCTGGAAATGTTTGCAGTGCAGACAGCTGCCCGAAGCCTCTCTCAGTCTCTCCCAGAGTCTAATGTGGGTTGTGTTGGTATTTGGGGGATGGGGGAAGAGACCTATCTCCCCACATTCCCTTACTCTTTCTATGTGCATTCTTGGCTAGTCTACAAAAACTTTGTAATTTTTTTTTTAATTGAAATTCAAGTCCGTTAACATACAGGATAGTATTGCTTTCAGAAGTAGAACCCAGTGATTCATCACCTACATGCAATACCCAGTGGTCATCCCAACAAGTGTCCTCCTTAATGCCCATTACCCACTTAGCCCATCCCCCCACTCGCCTCCCCTCCAGCAACCCCCAGTTTGTTCTCTGTATTTAAGAATCTCTTATGGTGTGCCTCCCTCTCTGCTTTTATCTTATTTTGTTTTTCCTTCCCTTCCCCTACTGCGTGTTTCTTAAATTCTGTTGTGTTTCTTAAATTCCACATGTGAGTGAAATCATGCGATATCTGTCTTTCTCTGCCTGACTTATTTTACTTAGCATAATGTACTCTGGTTCCATGCATGTTGTTGCCAATGGCAAGATTTCACCAAGTAGTATTCCATTGCATATAGATACACCACATCTTCCTTATCCATTTGTCAGTCAGTGAACATTCAGGCTCTTTCTATACTTTGGCTATCGTTGGTAACGCTACTATATACATCATGGTTTTGTCTCAGTTTCGTCTCTAAAAAATACACTGTTGGTCCAGCCCCCTGTTGACACTCTGACAGGTCCCTTCAGACTCCCAGGTATGTATGTGGCAGCAGGTAAGGTCCCACAGAAGCATGGCATTCGTGATCCAAAGCGCACCAGAGTTAACTAGTTTAGGGTCATTTCCTTCGGAGAGGTCTGATCTCTTTGAAAGATAGAAAAGAACTTTTTCATCTTGGCATCGAATTTAGCTTCTTTATTTTTATGAATGCACACTGAACTCTGCCTCCGATGAGTCGGGTGTCCAGATGAGTCAGAGTCGAAGGCTGAGACGATGGTGGTATCTCGACATTTTTTATATTCACAATCCCATTTTCAATACTAGGGTTTTTTTTTGCCAGCACTCTTGAAGGGATTGAAGTGTACTTAATGGGATTCGGAAACCACACTGGTTCAACCAGAAATCGTTGGAACGCCGTCGTGTTTACAGTTACAAAGGGGTCTCGGAGTTGTCGATTTCGTCCTCCTCCAGCACGGGCGTCCCCAGCAGACCCGTGTGCCGCCGCCCCCCCCCACAGCACAGCTCATCTTCGTTGCTAGCTTGACAGTGTGCCATGTCATCTGCCCTTTACCTCTCACTGGTAGCAAGGCCGGTGTCTCCTCGCCGCATCTCGTGACACGCTCAGCTTAGTATGTCGTCGGCATCCATCACTCCAATACTATGCAAGCTCACTGGTGGCAGAAGCTGTATGTCAGGGGTCAGCAGACTTTTCCTGTAAAGAGCCAGATGGTAAATACTTTTTGCTTTGCGGGGCATATGGCCCCAAAGTTTCAGGGCAACTTGTACAACGGAACAGAAAAGTTCATCTCATCCTACTCAGAAAGGTTTCTCTATTTACGGCCAGTCACGTCAGCTGCGCAAGTGCCCGGTCCTGGCTCTCAGCGTGAGCAGAAAACCCGCATGCTGCAGCACCCCACCTTGTCGGACAGGAAGGGGCAAGCCGAGATGCTTGTTATTGTTCGCACTCGTGATTTAACGCTGGCACTATACCGAGAACCGGGCAGACAGGAAAGAACTCGGGATAAAGAAACGCATTCATTCCACATAATGTGAAACGGCAATAAAAGATCTACAGAAGCTTACAATAGCCAAGAACGCCGGAGTGTCAAAGAGCTGAAGTGCACACACGCTTTTCCTGTCTAATATTTCAACAAAGGACATAGTGAATGCCAGAAGAACTGAGTACCAGTTAGAAGGCGGACAGAAAGGGGAAAAATCACGACAGTTTTCAAAACTTTTTTTACAGAATTGAAAGAATCACCACCTACCTAAATTTTATCAGGTGGCGGTCTGTTAGGCAATGTTGTTGGTAAAACAGATAATGAGCTCATGTGGGAC